TTATCTAATTCTGTGTCCTTTTTTGTTTCTTAAACTTTAGAGATCTTTGGTCCACTCCGTTTAACAGTTTTGGGCCCAGGCTTGATTTAATCAAATCCACTTTCTGCTCAGCGAGTGTCAGGTGTGTGTGAGCTCGTCCTCCACTGGCACATCCATCTCCTGGGTGTCTCTGCGTATCGGAAGTAGCTTCTCACGGACTGGTGCATTGTGCCCGTTCCAAGAGCAAGCAAGAGCGGCGGGAAGCAGGAAACGGCACTCAGAGCCTCCCAGCCGAACCGCACCGCAGTTCTGGAAGGCCCCTGTCATCGTGATGTTTTATCTCCCGGTCTCATTGGCCTTCCAATTGCTGGGAGCAAAGGTTAAATATTTCATGGGAGCAGCTGAAACCCTCCTGTTCAGCCCCAGACCTCACCAGAGACTCAGGAGTTGCCTGGTCGGGGCACCAGCAGCTCAGCAAACACCCGCCTCCACTGGTCAGCAATTTGCAATGTTGGTTTGTGCAGACAGGAGGCCTCCCCTCCCTCTACCAGAAGCAGGTGCAGGCCTCTCCTTGGCCTCCAATTGTGCAGAGTCCCTCACCTGGGGCCCACCGCTTCCACTCAAGAGGGCAGATGTAGGAAAGAAGCCCTGGAGGCTCCCAGGGACACCTCTGCCACAGGGCACAGTGTCTGGAGGGGCTGAGCCTTGCACTGTGGGTCTGCCCTGGAGGGGCAGCTCTGCCAGCCACACTACCCCCCTGCAGCGCTCTGGGCCAAAGGGGCTTGGAAGATGACCAGAGGGGTTAGAAAGCCACGTGCCCTTCTTTGCAAGCGTGGGCAGTTCCTTTCGTGGTTTCCTCTGGGGAGCTGGTGACAGAGTGGACAGTAAGGGAAGTGCCAGCTTTAAGGAGTCTGTCCCCTCGAGGCCCCTGTGGGGCATAATGATGGAAGAGTGGACGAGTTCCCAAAGACGCCAGAGGCCCAGGAGGTACACAGTCAATGCAGCTGACCGGGAGCCACCAGCAGAGCCCTGGAACCAATCCTCAGGAAGTGTGGACAAAAGGCTGACAGCTCTGATGGGTGGGGCATCCAAGCCAGAAATGAATGAATGAATGGTTGAATGAACGAATGAATGAAACCCCAGGCTGCTCCATCAGCTGCCCAGGGACTTGCTTTCTGACTGGAACCCCCCACCAGAGGCGTGCTGGGGGGTCCCAGGGATGTGCTTCACCAGCAGAGAGTACTGTGGCCATCCAGAGCCAATGCCATGGTTGCGATGTGCCCCCCTCACCTGGAGAAATGGAGCAGCCGTGGCCACATCGGGCTTCTGAGGTCAGGAACGGTTACTCCAGGGGGGCTGAGGGTGATGCCTGGGCATGATGGATGTGGATGGGCATCATCTGGTTCCTTGGTTCATCAGTGAGGGACCTGCCTGGGCCTCAGGCTGCAGCAGAGCCTCAGGTCAGGCTGCCTGGAGCTGCCTGCTTCTTCCCTCTCCCTAACTGAGGGATCTCTGGCATCTCAGCTAGAAATCAGTGGGCATGATTGCTTTTGTTGGGTGATGCCAAAAATACCCTCCCTCCCCTGCTTTTGAGACCTAGGGACAGAGACCGGTGCCATCCATGACAAATGCCACCAGGGCCTGGGAGCCCATGCTCACCCGGGCAGCCTCAAAAAGTGCCTTCCACCAAAGGGGCTCTGAGGGGTCTCGGCAGCTCAGGGTATTGGAACTCCTTGAGGGCCAGCTCTGGAGGACAGTGCAGTGGTGTGCTCATGGGTGGCGGGTCAGCGTCTGCCAGGCTTTGAGGAGGAAGGACGCTGACTAAGCGCACTGTCAGTGTGAGCTGTCATTCTCCCATGTGGGCCTGGAGGTGCTGCCATCAGGCTCGGCTCTGTTAACTGGGGCGCCTCCGCTCTTGTTTCTGGCCACTGTCGCCTCTGCATGCTTGCCTAGCACTGCTGTTTACTCCAGGCAGAGCAGCTGTCTTTCCTCCGTGACCTGGAGGAAAACCCAACCCCAGCATGCACCTCCCCTCTCCCTCGATGAGAAGGAAGCCCTGGTGGGTCACGCCCTCAGAGGGGATGGGACCTGCTAACCCTCTGCTCTCGGCGTTTCATGGTAGATGCTGAAAAGCTGGGTCTCGGACCGTCCCTCCCCCTTGCACGTCCTCCTGGGCTCCCCTTCCCTTCCCTCCCTTCACTGGAAACGCAGGAAAAAACCGCAAGATGAGGGGACTGGGTTTCCTTTTTGTGCCTCTGGGCTCCCCAGGGTTTATTCTGGTCTGGGGAGTTGGCAGCAGGTGACAGCTCAGTGCACTGCAGACCTCAGGGGCCGTGGTCCATGCCAGACAGCACAGCAAACCGTGGCCCGGTCAGTGTGGCCTGCGTGAGTTGGACTGTGGTCTGGGGGACTGCCCAGGCAGGGCTGGGGGCGAAGTCCACTCTCAGAGTCTGAGTGTGGCTGGAGTTTGGCAGCTGACGGGAGCAAGCCGCTGTTTGCAGGGTTTCCGGAAGCGCCTGGGCTGCTGATGCTGGGACACTCTGGGTGCCTGGCTTTTCAGGCTTTTCAGGGTTCCAGCAGGTGAGAAGGTGTCCCCAGATCCATCCACTGCAGGGCCCAGGGCCCAGTGAGCCTGGGCTGCTCTCCCCACACCCTGCATGAGAAGAGGATTAGATGTGCAGCCTTGTGGGGCCAACGGGATGCTGACCAGCCTCTTCCTCGAGAAAGCAAGGGTCTTTTTGAGACTCTCCCTCCTAGGTGGGGAAGTGGTGTGATGTGAAAGTGAGTACACTTCCAAGGGGTCCTGTCCGCCACCACCTCCCCACTCCCTGCCTGGGCTAGCAGGGGCATGTGCTGGAAGAGCAGAAGCAGCCAGGCCAGGCGCACTGGGGGCAGGCTTGTTCCTCACCTGGGTCCACAGCAGCCGTGAGCAGGCTGGTTCCTCACCTGGGTCCACAGCAGCCATGAGCAGGCTGGTTCCTCACCCAGGATCAGCAGCCGTGAGCAGGCTGGTTCCTCACCTGGGTCCACAGCAGCCGTGAGCAGGCTGGTTCCTCACCTGGGTCCACAGCAGCCGTGAGCAGGCTGGTTCCTCACCTGGGTCCACAGCAGCCGTGAGCAGGCTGGTTCCTCGCCTGGGTCCACAGCAGCCGTGAGCAGGCTGGTTCCTCGCCTGGGTCCACAGCAGCCGTGAGCAGGCTGGTTCCTCGCCTGGGTCCACAGCAGCCGTGAGCAGGCTGGTTCCTCGCCTGGGTCCACAGCAGCCGTGAGCAGGCTGGTTCCTCGCCTGGGTCCACAGCAGCCGTGAGCAGGCTGGTTCCTCGCCTGGGTCCACAGCAGCCGTGAGCAGGCTGGTTCCTCGCCTGGGTCCACAGCAGCCGTGAGCAGGCTGGTTCCTCGCCTGGGTCCACAGCAGCCGTGAGCAGGCTGGTTCCTCGCCTGGGTCCACAGCAGCCGTGAGCAGGCTGGTTCCTCGCCTGGGTCCACAGCAGCCGTGAGCAGGCTGGTTCCTCGCCTGGGTCCACAGCAGCCGTGAGCAGGCTGGTTCCTCACCTGGGTCCACAGCAGCCGTGAGCAGGCTGGTTCCTCACCTGGGTCCACAGCAGCCGTGAGCAGGCTGGTTCCTCACCTGGGTCCACAGCAGCCGTGAGCAGGCTGGTTCCTCACCTGGGTCCACAGCAGCCGTGAGCAGGCTGGTTCCTCACCTGGGTCCACAGCAGCCGTGAGCAGGCTGGTTCCTCACCTGGGTCCACAGCAGCCGTGAGCAGGCTGGTTCCTCACCTGGGTCCACAGCAGCCGTGAGCAGGCTGGTTCCTCACCTGGGTCCACAGCAGCCGTGAGCAGGCTGGTTCCTCACCCGGGATCAGCAGCCGTGAGCAGGCTGGTTCCTCACCCGGGATCAGCAGCCGTGAGCAGGCTGGTTCCTCACCCGGGATCAGCAGCCGTGAGCAGGCTGGTTCCTCGCCTGGGTCCACAGCAGCTGTGAGCAGGCTGGTTCCTCACCTGGGTCCACAGCAGCCGTGAGCAGGCTGGTTCCTCACCCGGGATCAGCAGCCGTGAGCAGGCTGGTTCCTCGCCTGGGTCCACAGCAGCTGTGAGCAGGCTGGTTCCTCACCCAGGATCTGCTGCAGTGATTGTTTCAGGCACCAGCAAAGAAAAGGGGCAATGCTGGAGCTCCAGAAGCAAAGGGGCGGGAGTTCAGGACCATGGCATGTGCCCAGGAGTCCAGGCACCCGGAGACGGGAAAGGCAGGAAAGCAGCTCTTCCGCACAGGTCTGCCGGTTCCACACTCGAGGCAGGCACAGGGGAGATGCTGATCCCCCACCCCGAGCTGAGCCCTTCCGTAGTGTCCAGGAGGCTGTGGCAGTGGGTCAGACAATGGTGGGGTCTCACAGCCTGGGAAGCAGGAAGTTGCCTCCTCCCTCCATTGCTGGCTCTGCTTGCTGGAGGCTCTTTCTCTACCACTCTTCATGACTCACGTGGCACAGGACACAAACCTGACTTTGTGGGGGCTGCTGTGGGAACCTGGAGTGCTCACCAGGGCAGCTGGGAGCTCAGTAGCTTTGCTGCAAACGGACGAAGTTCGCAGAGACCCAAGGTGTGACTGGGAGGCCATGCACACGAACTTCTGGCTCTGAAGCAAGTGGCTTCCCTTCCTTCCGGGACCCACATGCAGACAGGCCCAGGGAGAAGGAGCCCAGACCACACAGACAAACCCAGGGGAGGACGTGTCCCCACCACAGACAGCAGGGAGGGGGTGTCCTCACCACAGACAGCAGGTGAGGGGTGTCCCCATCACAGACAGCAGGTGAGGGGGTGTCCCCATCACAGAGACAGCAGGTGAGGGGTGTCCCCACCACGCAGACAGCAGGTGAGAGGGTGTCCCCACCACAGAGATGGCAGGTGAGGGGCGTCCCCACCACAGAGATGGCAGGTGAGGGGTGTCCCCATCACACAGACGGCAGGTGAGGGGGTGTCCCCATCACAGAGACAGCAGGTAAGGAGTGTCTGTCTGCACACAGATGCTGATGGGAGTTCATGCTGGGAAATCCTCTCTGGTGGTCTGGGGATGCTGAGCCGCTGAGGATGTCTTTGTGGAGGTGAAGATTTCTCTGTGACTTCATTTCTAACCGCCTTGGCCAACTTTCATTCACAGCCCGTGTATTCCCCAGAGTGGGCGGGAGACTGCAGGGCTGTCTGGGGAGGATGGTGTCTCCTGGGTTTGCCCCTGGCCTGTCATCCCACCCAGATGAAGGCAGGTTCTTGAAAGTCCCCTCCAAATCACAGGTGTAGCATTTGTCAAGAAGGAGGCAGAGAAGCTTGCGGAGGAGTGAGCTCAGGGAGGAATTCATGCCAGGAAGACGTGGCCTCAAGGTGGACGCCTTCCTCTCCTGCCTGGGAATAGACAGGTGACTTGTGGAGGAGGCCTGTCTGGGATGGCGCAGGTGGCGCTGGGGTCACACACTCAGTGCCTGGGCAGAGTGTGGATTTCTCTGACCAGCTCCGGGGATATTCCACTGTGGAGCTGCCAGGTTGCACCCTGTCCCACTGTGTGGAGGGAGGGTCGCTGGAGCTGAGTTGGTGGGCAGTGTCCAGCCCCTGCAGTGTCCTCGCCACCCTCCCGGGGCCCTGCAGTCCTTTGTGACAAAATCAAGCTCTTTGGGATGAGGTCTGGCTGGGCTTCTTGGAGGCAACCCATCCAATTTTTTTAGTCCTCTAAAAAGATAATCCAAAACAGTGTTTCAGAAATGGTGGGTGAAATGTTTATAGTTAACAAATTAACTTTAGCTCATAAAAGTACAAAGTGGCCTAATGGTGCTATTCAGAGCAAAATTATAGGATTGATTACAATGTGACTTTGCAGTGGCTGATGGGCCAAGTCGAAAGGCATCAGGGGCCTCCTGTGTTTCTCCAGTGGGCGGCACCCAAAGGCCACATGCGCCTTCAGTGCTGGGTGGAGGTGGCCCAGCCTGGTGTAAGCCCCGCGCTCCCTGCAGGCCTGGGTCTTGCTCAGGGCCCTCCCAGTAGCCCAGAGTCCTCAGCTTGGAGCTCACACCGCTGTGATCCCACCCAATGAGCTGGCCAGGGTGCTTCCTGTTCCTCCCTGCTGGATCCACTTGTGTGGTCCTGGTGGTGGGCTCAGCTCCCTAGGGGCCACCATCCAGCCCACTGTCACAGCCAGCCTGCTCTGTGGGGGCCTGAATTGTCTGCCTCCGTCCTGATCAGGTCCAGCCAGCAGCAGGACAAGGCTTCACCCATCAGGAGCCAACGTGGGGCTGGGGAGGCGGCATCCGCCTGTCTGCCCATGTTCCCAGGAGCACCCCAAGGCCTCCACCTGTGGCTGCGGGCTTTGCAGCTGGAGCTCCAGCCCTTCTCTCCAGCAGGGAAGGGGTGTCTTCCGTCTCAGTGTGAACGCCATTCATAGGGAAGTGTTCCCTATCCGTGAATGGGGGGTGAGTGATACGTAACACATGCAGAAATAGACTTACGCTCAAGTGTGTTCTGAGGGTGGAGAGAGCTCTATTTAAGCTGCATGTGAAGTGGGCTGGCTTCTGCCAGATGGAATCCTGGGTGACACTGAGCAGAGTGTGTTCTGCTCACGGAGGACGGAGGTTAATTGAGTGAGTTGGAGAGCAGGCTGCTGGGCAGTGCTGGGGGGTGAATGTCAGTTCTCACCGTGCGCTCGCTCCCCGCCGGCCCCGCTGCACTGAGGCTTCCTCTTTGCTGTACCTGCGGTGTTTGATGCTGTCTGTCCATCTGGATATCTGCCCTAGCATCCATCCATCTGCACACTCCTTTGGGGGTGCAGGGCAGGAAGGTGGGGGTGAACAGCCTGACACAGAGAGGGGGTGGGGTGGGAAGTGATCCGCTCCAGGCCAAGCCCCAAGACAGGGGCAGCGGGATGGGTGTGCCAGGCTGCAGCCCCCCTGTGGTGCTCTTGGGGGACTGAAGCTCCTGCCACCTCCCCATCTCATGCCCCTCCCATTTTAGCTCATCAAACGCTGGCCAACCTCTCCCATAGCTACCCCTGAGTCCCCACAGACCCCGGGAGGTAGGAACCGTGATGAGCCCCATGTTACAGAAAGGGAAACTGAGGCACAGGAGGTTGAGCATGTCACCCATGTCACACCAAGTTGGGATTTGAGCCTGAGCAGCCAGCCCCAGAGCCTGGCCCTGCCCGTGTGGGGAAGTAGGGAGCTCCTTCCACCCACCCAGGAAAGCAGCATGTTTGTGGGGAGGTGACTTTGGCGTGGGCTCAGGAGGCTGGGGCTCCAGGCCTGGCTGAAGTGCTATCAGCCATGTGATAAAAAGGAGTGTTCCCCTCCCCACCTCCTCCACCACGGCGCTCCATCTCTCCCTTAGGCCCTGTCTGTGGGAGTTCTGTGTAACCTGTGTGGCAGGCACGGGGGAGAGAGGGGCATCGGCCATCTGCAAGCCCTGGCAGCCCATGTGGCAGAGGCAGGCAGTGAAGACGCTCTGTGTCAGTGCAGCAAACCTGCTGGTCTGTTCTGGCGGCCGTCACACATGCTCTAGGATGGGGGCTCATAAGCAACAGAAACCCATTCCTCACTGTCTGGAGCTGGATGTTCACGGTCTAGGTGCCCCAGATTCAGTGTCCGCTTTCTGGTTTATCGATGGCACCCTCTGGCTGTATCTCTGTGTGGCAGAAGAAGTGAGGGAGCTCTCTGGGGTCCCTTTCATAAGGGCAGTAATTCCATTTGTAAGGGCCCCACCTCCCCAAGGCCCTACCTTCTTACACCAGCACATTGCGGGGAGAGGCTTTAATATCTGGATTTTGGGGGGCTACACTGAGACCGTAGTAAAACCCCATAGACGCAGGCCCTGACCTCCCAGAGTTTCCTGACAGTGGCTGATGGCCACAGTGTGTGCTGCGCTGGACCACACCAGGGTCGGAGGCGAGGCAGAGCTCAGGGGAGGGGCTGGTGCCATCTAACGCTGGGGGGAGGCGGGGAGGCTTCCCTGATGCCATGCCATTGCACAGACCTGAGGAAAGTGAGGAGGCAGCGCCTGGAGAAAGGGCTCGCCAGGCAGCGGGAACAGCATGTGCCAAGGCCCCGGGGCAGTGGCAGGCTTGGGCGCTCCAGAGAGGGGGGCCAGGGAGGTTGGAGGGGAGGGGAGGTGGTCATAAGAGGCTCTGGCAGGGGAGGCTGGAGGGGGGAGGTGGTCATGAGAGGCTCTGGCAGGGGAGGCTGGAGGGGGGAGGTGGTCATGAGAGGCTCTGACGGGGGAGGTTGGAGGGGGGAGGTGGTCATAAGAGGCTCTGGCAGGGGAGGCTGGAGAGGGGAGGTGGTCATAAGAGGCTCTGACGGGGGAGGTTGGAGGGGGGAGGTGGTCATAAGAGGCTCTGACGGGGGAGGCTGGAGGGGGGAGGTGGTCATGAGAGGCTCTGGCAGGGGAGGCTGGAGGGGGGAGGTGGTCATGAGAGGCTCTGACGGGGGAGGTTGGAGGGGGGAGGTGGTCATAAGAGGCTCTGGCAGGGGAGGCTGGAGGGGGGAGGTGGTCATAAGAGGCTCTGACGGGGGAGGTTGGAGGGGGGAGGTGGTCATAAGAGGCTCTGGCAGGGGAGGCTGGAGGGGGGAGGTGGTCATAAGAGGCTCTGACGGGGGAGGTTGGAGGGGGGAGGTGGTCATAAGAGGCTCTGATGGGGGAGGCTGGAGGGGGGAGGTGGTCATGAGAGGCTCTGGCAGGGGAGGCTGGAGGGGGGAGGTGGTCATGAGAGGCTCTGACGGGGGAGGTTGGAGGGGGGAGGTGGTCATAAGAGGCTCTGGCAGGGGAGGCTGGAGGGGGGAGGTGGTCATAAGAGGCTCTGACGGGGGAGGTTGGAGGGGGGAGGTGGTCATAAGAGGCTCTGGCAGGGGAGGCTGGAGGGGGGAGGTGGTCATAAGAGGCTCTGGCAGGGGAGGCTGGAGGGGGGAGGTGGTCATAAGAGGCTCTGGCAGGGGAGGCTGGAGGGGGGAGGTGGCTTCATCGCTTCCAGAAAGGGTCCATCACTGCATAATCCCCACAACAAAAGGCAGGTCAGTGGTGGGTGGAGAAGACTTCGAGGGTGGGGGGGCGCCCCGAATCCTGACTGTGGTGGTCTCATGCTGTAGACAGCTGTCCAACTCACCGATCTGGATGGTTTCAGTGAGTGCAGCTCATTGTGCACAAGCTATTCCTTCACTGAAAAAGCACAGAAGAAGAAAGTTCTAGAGGCCTCCACGCTGTGGTAGCAATGTGGAAACTGCCCCGGTTTTGGGGTACACTCATGATGAGGCCACAGAGCATCATGTGAGGTCTGTCTGGGGGCATTTCTACAGAGCAGGTCTGGTAGAGGGAACGTCATTGCACACCCAGAACAGGGGGCGCCGCTCACTCCACCTGCATCTACAGGCGAGCCCTGGGGTAAGCCGGTTGCATGTGGACCCCAGGGGACCGGCTACCTTGCCTGGGCTTGTGCTTTGAGCCAGGGATGGCACTGGGGCTGTGGTGCTGGGCGAAGGGGTTTGAAAGCCTGAAGCCTACAGTTCAGCAGAAATCAAGCTCTGGGGGATGGGAAGGGCCCCTCCTCCTGGCGTTCCCCTGAGAGGGTGCAGAGATGGAAAAAGGGGCATGCTGATTTGGGGGTTCCCTGGGCTAGGGGAGCTTCCAGATGGAAACTGAGGCACTTGCCTCAGCATCTGGCAAAGAGAGTGGGGCATCAGGAGGGTCCTCTGCCGGCCCTGAGGGAGCCTGAGGCCACCCACTGTCTCCCAGGGCCTGAGGGCCACCTTGTGCCAGCCTTGACTGCTAGCCTCTGCTGTTGGTCAGGACCCAGATCTCCTGGACTCCACCCCTTGGCATGGGGCACATCCTCGGGCCTGCTGCAGCTCCAGCCCCTCCCTCCTCTCCTTCCCCACCACGCCCCCTCTGCTCTAGCCTCCCCCTCACCTCCTCATCACAGCCCTGCCCTGGCCTCAGTTTCCCCCAACACCACATTCAGCAATCTCCCTGGGTGACTTCAGCACCCAGAGGAACCACCTCTTCTTACTACCCAAACCTCTGTTCTTCTGGCTCTGGGACTGCAGACTGCGGACGGCTGCCCTGGCCCCACACTGTCAGCTGGCTCCCCCGATACCCCGTCAGGCCCCTGCCCTTCCCCACTGGCCTGCAGCCTGGTTCCCAGCCTTGGACTCTCGGCAGCTCTGACCTACTCAAACCTGGCCCTCATCCCAACCATGGCAGGCGCTGCTCCACCCTTCCGGCCTCGTCTCACCTGTCTGGACCCAGCTCACCCTTCATGCCTGTGGACCCAGCAGGAGCAGGGAATGGGCCACGTGTGGGTTTCCCAGTGGGCAGAGGTGGGCACAGGCAAGGATGCCTGCAGGAGATATCCAAGGACTTGGCAAATGAGTGGAGTAGAGAGGTGGGGGCAGCAGGCGGGGTGAGGAGGGTTCCAGCAGTGGGGCCAGGCTCCAGCTACAGGGACAGAATGGCCAGGCCTCAGGCCACAGCACCCTGATTAGTGAAGCCTTGCTTTGTGTCGGAGTGAGGCAGGGGTGTATTATTGGAGCCAGAGTACAGGCGGGCCCTAGCTTCCTGGTCCTGGGCCCCCTGGGTTGGTGGGATCCAGCCCCTTGAGCACCTGCTGTGGGCAGACACTGGAGGCGAGAAGGCCCGTCCATCAGTCATCCTCAGATGACTTAACTCAATCAGAATAGCGCCCATTCCATAGAGAAGGAAACTGAGGCTCCAAAAAGCAGTGTGGCTCAGGGGATAGTGCAGTGGCTGAGGCTGAGGATTCCAGGGTCAGAGGCACATCCTCCACCGTGTGTTCCTGGGAGAATGTGGGGATCAGCCGATGCAGGGCCATCTGGAGCCGCCCCAGCACAGAACCAACACGTTGTTACTCATCATTGTCCCTTGGCAGGGCTGGAAACCACCAGGACTCGTGAGAGGCAGGCAGGCATGGCCCAGGAGCATGGCCTCAGAGCCAAGCTCCAGTCCTGCCAGCCACGTGGGCTGGGGGCAGGATGGAGCAGGTCAGCATTCACGAGGTGCAGGGAAGGGTGGGAGCTGTTCATGAGGGTTTAGGAGCTAGGAGGAGGCGCGTTTCTCACCACCAGGGCTGCACTGAGCTCGCAGGACAGTGGGGCTCAGCCTTGGCTGATGGAGTCATGAGAAGTCCCAATTCCAGTTCTGATGATCTGTCCCGGGGTGTCAAGTCTCCAGAGTCCAGCTGCACAGCTCCATCCCAGCCAGTGCTTGTGGCAGCCTCTCCAAGTCTTTGCCTGCCACTCTCGTCCCTGCGGTGAGCTGATCACGGTGCACAACATGGCGCCTGGCACATGGTAAGTGGTCAAGGAACCTTAGGGGTCAGGACTGTGATTGCCTTTGGATGGCAGGTCTAGGAAAAGAGGCTCTACATTCCTCCAGTTCCCCTGACAAGTTTATGTCATGGCTGCATCTAACGGTCACTGGGACTCACCTGTCATGTCCCATCTTACTTATCCATCCATCCATCCATCCATTCATTCATCATCCACCTATCTATTCATCTATCCATCCATCGTCCATCTTTCCATCATTCATCATCCCTCCATCCATTTATCCATTCATTTATCCACCCATTTATCCCTCCATCCATCCATGCATCATCTGTTCATCCATCCATCCATCTGTTCATCTATCCATTCATTTATCTACTTATCCATCCATCCATCAATTTATATATGTATTCATCCATCCATCCATCCATTTATCCATTCATTTATCCACCCATTTATCCCTCCATCCATCCATGCATCATCTGTTCATCCATCCATCCATCTGTTCATCTATCCATTCATTTATCTACTTATCCATCCATCCATCCATCCATCCATCCATCCATCCATCCATCTGTTCATCCATTAATCCACCTAATCTATCTGTTTATCTGCTTTTTCTCTCTATGAAGTGGCGTGTTCTGGGCCTTTCATATATAACATGTGGTCTTTTGTGTGTGGCTTTTTTACTCAGCATAATATTTTCTGAACTCATCCACATGGTACCATGTGTCAGCATTTCATTCCTTCTTATGGATAAATGATATTTCGCTTTATGCACATATCTTGTTTCGCTTATCCATTTACCAACAGATGGATATTTGAGTGGTTTGCACTGTTTGGCTCTTACAAATAATGCTGCTATAAACGTTACGGCAAGTTTTTCTGTGAACATGTTCTCAGTTCTCTTGAGTTTACACCTAAAAGTGGAATTACTGGTGCCTCGATGTTTTATTCCCAAACTGCTAGTATTCCAGAATAACACAGTTCAGTATGGTTAGTATTGATATAGGCTTAACTTCACATGCAACTTGTGAACTCGACCCCGCCAGTGGGGAGCGCTTGCAAGAGGAACCCGGAAAAGTGGGAGGTCTAGATCTGTCAGCCCAAGTTCTCATGCTGAAAGGGCAACGTAGATGTTCTTATTCTTTTAATCAGACCAGAGTGGGTTTGTCCTGTGTCTGAATAATTGTATACCTTGAAAATCTCTTTAGGATGCAGATGTGAAGACAGCCAAAGGGGAGACATTTACGTCGTTCATAAAATCGTTCGAAGATAGTCCCGGAATGTCCATCCGGTGCCCGAAGTTTGCTGCCTGGGATATAAATAATAAATACAACGATTAAGTTCAAATTGTTGCCTTTGTCTTCGCTTCTTTGTGTCATTGTCCTTGAAAGTGGCCTGTTCACTGCTTTTCTCGGCGTTTTTTGCAAACTGGTAATTAAAACATCAACCCAAAAGACAATCGTAACGGGCTGGATTGAGCTCCTCAAAGTCCGTGTGTTGCAGTCCTCACCCCCGGCACCCCAGAATGTGATTATTGGGAGGGACCTTTGCACTGTTTGGTGTATGCGCAAGAGACCTGAAAACATGTTCACAGAGAGACTTGCCGTGAATGTCTGAGAGCCAAACCATGCTAAGAGGTGACTCAGGTACAGTTAGGTCACGGCGTGGCCCCTGATTCGATCTGACTGGTGTCCTTATAAGAAGAGGGGGTTAGGAACCGACACACGGAGGGATAATCACTTGAGGACACACGGCGAAGACCTTGGCCACACAGAAGCCAAGGAGAGAGGCCTTGGGAGGAGCCAGCCGAGTGGAACCGGGATCTCAGCTCCAGCCTCCGGCACTGTGGGAGAACGCATTTCTGTTGTCTGAGCCACCCACCTCGTCTGTGGTTCCTTGTTACGTAACTAAGCCAATATGCCTAGTCACCAAGATATCGCCCTAGGGACAGAAAATTCAACAATGCCATCTCTAAGCACTCTGTGGAGAGACTGGACTTGCAAAATGTTTTAAATGCCTTGTTCGAAACATTTCATGATATTTTTGTTTTTCTCTTTTAATCGCTCTAATCTAATTAGTGAGTTTCCCCTAAGCAAAGAGTTCTAACTTTGTTACATTTTGTCTTTTCATTTCACGAAAACATTTGATCTTATCTGCGATTTGTTTTTTAAAACTTTCCTTTTCTGAAAAAAAAAGGTTTATTTGTTTATTTGTTTGTTTATTGAGATGAAGTCTCGCTATGTTGCCCAGGCTGGTCTTGAACTCCTGAGCTTAAGGGATCCTCCTGCCTCAGTCTCCCAAAGTGCTGGGATTACAGGTGTGAGCCACTGTGCCCAGCCTAAAAGCTTTCTTTTCATTTGGAAGTCATTTTAGAAACACAGAGGGTGGTGAAGACAGTGCAGAGAGCCCTTGTACGTCCTATCCCTGCTCTCCCCTCATGCTCACTGCTGATTACTTTTTAGTTTCAAATGTAATCCACGCTGCTTGGAGAAAGGGTGGGAAATAGAAAATGCCGTGGATTTAAAAAGAAAATCAGTGTAATTTCAGCCCTAAGACATAAATCCAGTTAGCTTTAGGAATCTTTCTTTTCAGCATTGTTTTCTTTCACTTTTCCTTTGAAATAATTGTCGGATTGCAGGGAGTGGAGAGGGTGCTCATGTGCCTTCACCCAGTTTCCTGCAATGGCTGCAGAGCACTTCACCACAGCGCAAGATCGACGCTAGGAAATGGGCATTGGACAAGGTGTGCCCCGTTCTCCGCCGTTGGATCACGTGTGTAGATTCATGAAGCCGCCACCCAGTCCGGGGTCAGAGCTGCCCCATCACCCAGAGATCTCTCCTGGGCTCTCCGGTACTGGGACCCTCCCCGGAACCATCCTCAACCCCTGGCAGCCGTTCATCTGGTCTCCAGCTGCGCACCTGGTCATTTTCAGACAGTCGTATACACAGAATCAGGCAGAACGTGACCTTTTGGGACTGGCCTTTTCGCTCGGTGCACAGCTGTGACATGGGGCAGGTGGGCGAGTGCACCAACCTTGCCTCTTCCGACGGCTGTATTCCACACCCAGCCATTTGCTTAGCCGGTCACGTGGTGAAGAACATCTGGGGCAGTTGTGTCTAGTTTGGGGCTGTCATAAATAAAGCTGCATGAACATTCATGTGCACTTTTTGGTGTGATCACAAGTTTTTATTTCCTAGGGATAAATGCCCAGAGTGCAATTGCTGGGTCGTGGTAATAGACTTAAGCCTTTTTTTTTTTTTTTTTGTCTGAGGCAGAGTCTGTTACTCAGTCCCCCAGGCTGGAGTGCAGTGGTGTGATCTTGGCTCCCTACAACCTCTGCCTCCTGGGTTCAAGTGATTCTCCTGCCTCAGTCTCCGGAGTAGCTGGGAGGCGCATGCCACCACGCCCAGCTAATTTTTCAAATATTTTTAGTAGAGACAGAGTTTCACTGTGTTAGCCAGGATGGTCTCCATCTCCTGACCTTGCCATCTGCCTGCCTCGGCCTCCCAAAGTGCTGGGATTACAGGCTTGAGCCACCGCACCCGGCCAGTAATAAACTTGGTTTTTAATGAAACTGCCAAAGTCTGGCCTACTATTCTTCCCTTCCCAGTGTACTCACAGGCTGTCTCATTTTGCATTCCCTGAAGCGGGAGATGAGTCTGTTCTTTAACGCATAGATGTTACTATTATTACCTTCCTTGGGATCAAATTGTACGTGTGCTTTTATGATGGGCTTATTTCCCTTGATGTAATCTTACCAGCATTTCTCAGATGTATTTTTCTACAACTCCTTTTAAATTGCTAAATAATGCAGCAGGTGGATAAACAGGCCCAGTGCCCGGCCCCACAGGGCTTCAGCGTGTGTCCACTCCACTGCACACCCGTGCACCTGCTGTGGGACCTGGTGGACACAATGCCAGGGCTCGGTCCTGCTCTGTGGGACTTACAGCCAGTCCACAGATGAACACGCTGATCAGAGACCACGAGTGCTGTGGGCGAGACCACACAGGCTCCCGAGCATGAGCTGTGTTAGGTTCAGGGAGGGTGCCCACCCATGTGGTGTCTGGGCTGAAGTCTGGAGAAAATTGTTGGAGACAGAAGCTGGAAATACATCCTCTGTGCCACAAGGAAAAATCAGTACTGGGACAAAGGATCTCTCAGCAAAGCAATTCTTTTCACTTCCTGCAGAAAGGGTACTCCCACTAGCAGGTTTGCCATGAGAGTACAAAGAGCAAAGGGAAACACAGAAATTTATTTCTTATGGGTTTGGGACCGTCCTCACTGCTGTGTCTGATCTCCGTTGGCTGGAGCCAGATCTTACAATCTAAACTAAAACCCAACTGGCTAACAACTTAAAACTTTTCTAAACAGGTAAACACAATGGAGAGCTGGGTCATGCCTGTGAGCACGTCCAGCACGGATATTTTGGTTTAAGTACAAGGACATATGATGTACCATTGCCTGTAAGGACGGGGTGTCTAACAGTTACACAGGACAGGGCTTCACAAAGTTATTAGCACACTTATGATTTATCCTTTAACAAGAAAGGAAACTTTAAAAAGGAACTTTTCTACTTCCCACAGGAATGTAAGCATTCATAAGCTGGGGCAGGGGAGTTGGAGGGCTGGCTATGTTCGTCCCATCTTGGTCAAGTTTATTTTATCTATTGATTTACAAAAGCTAATAACATGAGCCCCCTGTCCCGGGGCAGGGACACTGTTCACCGTTGCTCACTGTTTTGTTCTCCTCACAAGCAGGAACCGGGCAGGACTCGGGCATTTGCAGAAAGAATGGCAAATGTCACACAGAACATCACTGTATTCAGGGGCTCTCAGCACACAGCTCTGATGTTTTGCTTAGAGGTCAATCTCTGGAAGTGAAGCGGCTTGTTGCTAAACGCTACATACATTTCCAAGGTCCAGATGCTGTTTTAAACCTTAGTGACTGCTCAGGTACACGTTGGACTCTGGACTTCTGTAAGCACCCTCTCTAGGTGGCTACACCATGAGAGTCTCACAGGCCTCAGCGGCTGCCCACCCTCTTCCCTCCTGAGCTGAGCCCTCAAATCCTAAGGCTGGGTGTGTATGGCCAAGTGCAGATGGGGGTGGGCTCAGTTTTCAGGAGCAAAACTTCATCCAAGTTTATTACCAAATTAAATTCTCCTCATGTTAGATCAACGCACAGGATTTGTCTGGAGCCTGGGGTGGGGAGGGAGGTGGAATAATGGATGGGTTTCCACATGGGGTGGAGAGAGCTGGGTGCTCTCCTCCCCAGCCTACAGATAGGGGCAAAAGTCAGTAGGGCTTGACTTGGTCTCCCCTCTCTGCCCCTGCAGGTGGATTCCCACCAGCTGATAAGCCTTGTCAGGGCTTACTGGGAGGCTGTTGGGTGGGAAGGAGCCTCCATGGCAGTGGTGATGGAGAAGGTCCAAGCTCTACAGATCCTAGGCCCATGAGATGGATAGAGATGGCTGCAGGGACAGTGAAAGGCCCAGCGGACTCTGAAGGACACCAGGGCACTGTCTGCCATCTCACCTTGCAGGAGCCCAGGTACCTGAGCACTGAGAGCCAGGTTTGTGCTCAGCACCTGCCTCTAAGGCTCCCCCAACACACATAACTTTGTCATTGCACACTGGCCCTGGGCAGGCAGCAAGGTGGCTCTGCATGGACACAGGCTCATGGTACTATGGTCATCAAAGGTGGCCCCACCATTTCTCCCTTGCAAGCGCACCTGCACACCGCCCCTCCTTGAATTCCTGCTCCGTGAATTCCCCATTAATGGGTTTGACTAAAACAATGCAGCAGAAGTGACATCCTGAGATTTCCACACCCAGATCTTAAGAAAACTGGGTTTCCACTCCCCATGTATGGGAATCCGGCTGCCATACTGTGAGGGAGTCCAAGCAGCCACATGGAGAGGCCCAGTCAGCAGAGAACCAGGCCTCCTACCAGCAGCCCAGCTGAGCTATGGTAGGACTGAGGCCATTTGGGACCTTCCAACCATCCCTGCACCCAGTGGCATTGTGGGAGCAAGAGAACCCCCAAATCAATCCACAGGGTTGGGAAGGGTAAGAAATGGTTGTTTTAACCCTCAGTCTGGAGTCGTCTGTTACTGAGTAATGAATGACTGAATCAGAAATTGACGTGGCAGTGCTCTTTTAAGAATGTCACTTAATTTAGGATTTCAGGTTTTGCTCATGAAGCTCATTTATAAGAATAATTTGTCCAGTTTCCAGAAATGATTAAATCAGAGCCTGGAGACATGGGCCACCTTCCTCGAGGGGAAGCCAGTGACTCTTCTCGGATTGAGTCTGGGCCATTTTCATGGGAATAGCATCTGGCGAAGGC